CCAGTGTATTTTTCCACAGGACAAGCAGTGGTTTCCAAGTGCGCCCTGGCTGAGCGCAGAAGCTATTCAAAAGGCAGGGTTGGGCAGCAACATGGGGGGCAGGCTTTGGGGAGATGAAGCAGAAAGACCTTCCTGCTTTTCAAAGACCTCAGAAGAGCTTGAGTATCAGGAGGCGCCCTCAGGCAGGTCCTGCTGGCAAAGAGAGTCCAAAAGGAGAAAAGAAGAAGAAAGGGGGCTCCCAGAAAGAAGCCCAGAGCCAGCTTGGACCAGCATCTCCTTCAAGCATGTACCAGCCCGGTACCTGTGCTTAAAAAAAGATGCTTGTGACATCTATATTGCTAAGTTTCTGGGTGGGCTGCTTTCTTCCGCGCCTGCTCTTGTGGTTTGCTGCCCCCTCCAGGAGGCAAGGAAGAGCTGAGGCACTACAGCAATGGGGTGACAAGAATCATGAGAAGTGATGACTAGCTTCAAGGTTTTCCCCACATCATGATTTTTTACATAGTATTTGAGTTTGGTTTAAAAACAAACAAACAACAGTGCTATCAGACAAGTGTTCAACTGCATGACATCATTCTGGCCAAAGGAGGGAAAGGCTAGACCTTGAGAGACCAACAGGGCACCCAATAGGAAGTCCTGGGGCTGAACAAGTCTTGAACACTCTAGGTAGGTCCAGTTGGGCCTCACTGAACAATGGAGAATATTCCTAGCCACACAGTCTTTCAGCAGGAGTCCATTCTGACCTGGGGCTTTGAGTTTGTTTTTTTGTTTTTTTTGCAATGTGTTTTCTTGACACAAAATTTAGTTGCTAGCTAAGAGATCAACATCTTTGAATGACAGGTCAGTGGAAGGATAGAGATTTCCAGTTATTTCCCTAACCCTACTTCCCAATTTCTCATTCATCTCTGAAGTCCCTGCCACAGGCAAGCCAAGTCTACTTTTCTTTTGCAAACCTGGCCTTGCTCACCATACCACATTATCCAGGTCCTGAGAAAGAGGTCAGGAACATGTACCCTGTCAAGGCACAAAACAATCCCCTGCTATTTTTATTTTATCTTTTAATCAAGACAAGTAGAGATTCTCTGCTCCCTCTTGCTGACCCATCGAATTATCACCTTCTGAACTGAAAATGTGAAGTGAAATAGATGTGATCAACTTTTGCATTATCTCTAGCATATCTCTTTCATGAGCTACCAAGCAATCCTTTAGTTTCCCCTCCATATTTAATTGTTGCTGCTATATATTGCTTGCTAATACTGAAGTAAGCAGAATTTTTAAAATGCCTTTAAATACCACCAAAACTATTACTTGGAAATGGGTAAATTTTCCCCCATCTGTAAGTAACAGACTAAAAGATAGTAAGAGACAGTAATAAAAATAAAATCATCTCCAATTATGCAAAATTTCATAACTTTGGAGCTATTATAGTCTTCCTTATATAAAATACATATTTAAATAGCAGTTTAAGGAAGAAAAAACCCTTCCAATTTGTAACGTGAAAATATCTCACTCAAAGAGGGAAACTTTGCACTACAGCTTTAAACGTTTAAGCCTCTAATGTCCATTGCTTAGCAACCGGGCATCCTTACCTAAACACCGTTTTTCAGCAGAGTCACGACTGACTGGTAGGGCTGATAATGCAATTCAAAAAGAACAAGTGTTCCCAAAGCACTTGAATTCTGTTCACATAGTACTGTACCTCAAGTATCAATACACCTTTCTGTGTAATAAAATAAAAATGCTTTCCCAGTAATTATATACCACAACAGGATTTTAACAGGATGAAAAATAATAATTTTTCAATTGCACAATTTGAGCTCCAGTTCTTAGAAGAATTAAGGCATAAAGGCAGATAATCATTGTTCACAACACTGTTTTATCCTGATACAAAGTACATTTAAAAAACCATTTTATGAAGAAGGCATTTGATTTACATGCTGATGATTTAAACTTTTTCAAGCAGCCCATAATCACTCAGAGTCCAGTGAAATCATTAGGAATTTTTCAGTCACAAATTATGAGAAACCAGTTTCTGTTTCAAAAGCAACCAATCACAAGGAAAAAGAAATACTGTAATGTGAATATAAGTTCTTTGCAGGCCAAAACTATGTATTAAATTATAGGTTTGGAATTTCATTCAACAACAGAAGACTATGACCAGAGTCATATGTTACTTGAGTAGCAATATTTGGATCCCACCTTGCCGAAGTAATGTGTGAAGGATAGAATCATGCAAAAAATGGATGGGGAACCACATATTGCAGGATGACAACTCCCATCATCCCTAACTATTGACCATACTGGCTGGACTGAGGGGAGTTGGTGTCTAACAACATATGAAGAATCAAAGGTTTCCCACCTCTGCTGTAAGAGAATGGTCAGGCACTGCCAAAAGTAGTGCCAGCAACCCATACTGGGACAGCAATGGTTATAGACATGGAACATGGGTACCTCTTATGCAACAGCCTGCCCCACAGGACTCCATCGCTCAAATGTTATTGGAGTGATGTGGGATTCTGCCAGAGAACTGGCAATCTCATTGAGACAGAAAGAGTATAAAGTTGATCAGAACTTTAATCAATTATCCGCACCACAAACTTCAAAAACATTTCATTCCAGATAATTCTTATTCCTTCATAAAAAAAAATCTAGGCTTTTGCTACTACAGAATTTGGCCTAAATTACTCATATCATCATATTATTAGGAGAAAGATCACTAACCCCAGGAAAAATTGACAGCATTCATCAACGAAATCTATAGAAAAGGAATTCCTATGGGGTTGGAATTTTGTGTGTGTGTGTGTTTTGCTTGTTTTGTACTCATTAACTAGTACAGTGGTACCTAGGGTTAAGAACTTAATTCGTTCTACAGGTCTGTTCTTAACCTGAAACTGTTCTTAACCTGAAGCACTACTTCAGGGGCCTCCCGCTGCTGCCACGCTGCCGTTGCGTGATTTCTGTTCTCATCCTGAAGCAAAGTTCTTAACCCGAGGTACTATTTCTGGGTTAGTGGACTCTGTAACCTGAAGCATATGTAACCTGAGGTACCACTGTATTTAGAGCCACAAAATGCCTATTCCCACCACCATAACCCTCAAGAATTTTGCAAATAAAAAAAATGCACTTCTTAAAATAAGGGAGGGATCTATTTCTTCAATCTAATTATCTTACACACCTATCTCCAATTTTTGCATCAGGAAGAAACATGATTCCAAGAGAACTGAAAACGGTGCATGTCTAAAAGATGAGGCAATGGCTTGAGAAAAGGGGCGATTCATGACTCATATTGTGTACAGAAGGAGGCTAGCCAGGAGCAAATATTTATTTATTGTATTTATATCCCACCTTTTCCTCCAATGAGTTCAATGTGATGTACATGGTTCTCCCCCTCCTTGTTTAATTCACTCTCCTAGCTCTAAAATATTACCTCTACCACACAAGTTTGCATTTGATAATTTCCTACTGAAGATGGCATCACACAAAATTTTTACCTAACACTTATTTGCATGCTTGAAACTGCTAGCACTAAATAAACAGCTGCTACACATTCCATGGTTCATGTCTCAATGTGAATTCTAAATTTAAAAACAAACAAACCTGAGAGATATTCCTAATATTTGCATACCAACTTTAATGGACACGAAACAACCATTTTTTAAAAAAAAGATACACAGTTTTGTTTGATTTGTTAAATTGTCTAGCGTTAATAATGCAAATAACATAATCCCTCTATCCAAATCTTTTGTTCCTTAAGCACAGACAGGTGGTAACATATGTATTCTCTTAATTCATTTTTGCCCATCAGGGAAAAAATGTATTTAAAGGATACAAGAACGCTGACAGACTACAAAGGCTGCAGTCCTACACTGCATTCAAAGAGGTTTTAATTATGTGATTGAATCCCCCATCTTAACGTCACTATTCTACATCAAGCTGTCCCCTTGGTTGCCTGGGAAAGGACAACAAACTAAAACCTACTTCTCATAAACCTCAGATAATGCAGTAAGCTTATGTCTGTACTGCAACACTTCTGGCTCCAGCTGCGGGGGCTCATATGATTGAATACTCCTCAGGACCACCACCACTCAATAAACAGTTATCTGAACTATATACTAGTAGCCAAAATTGTGGAAACCTTCCAGAGAACGTGTATTTCCGAGGTTTGATGGCTCATAACACCAATTTTTTTTTTAGTAATACCATAAAATTATATATCAATGGAAAGATAATTTATGGTCAGGGTATATTTAAGGGAAGCTAATAGAGAAGAAAGAGATAAAAACATGCTTTCTTCAAGAAGTGGAATCGCTAAGAAAATACTACATTTGCCCAGGGTGGGCACAATGGTTTCCAAAGAAAAGAAAAGAAAAGAAAAGAAAAGAAAAGAAAAGAAAAGAAAAGAAAAGAAAAGAAAAGAAACGAAACACTCTCCCCTTGGAGCCCTCACAATGAAATCTAGGCCTGTACTGAGAGCGGAATTTAAGCAGAACCTGCCTCCTGGTGGAAAGAAGGGAGGACAACTTCAGTATCTAGACCACTGGAGAGGGACAAGTAGGAAGATCAATTTAAAAGTTGAATTTCTTAATATATCAATTAAAGTGTTCATACATGCTAGGAACAGATGGTACAGTCAATATCTTGCCCCAAGCGGCATTTCTACTTGTGGCTCTATAGTTGAGATTGTCCCAAGATAGTCATTAGTACCTTATTAAAGAGAGAATACTTTCCCAGTACAGTACATCCTGTCATGATTGCTAGACAGATATCATGAGACAGATATCCATCAAGCTTGCCATGAGCAAATTTACTTCACACTAGGTGAGCCAGCTCACCATTTCAAGCAGCAAGGATTGTGTCTGCATGGCTATAAACTTAAGTTTCAAGTAGACATGACAGCTGGAGTGTCCACTAACAGATAAAAAGTTTGTTTTCATCAGACTTGTAGTTAAGAATCAAGTGACATTAAGACATTGTACATTTTCAAACAAAATAATTTAACTTACAGTTAAAGCTGGTCTCTTATATTTCTTAAAGTGCCAGAATCATATCTTGGGTCTCTATACTTCAGGCTTACATGGCGGCTACAAACATTCCTAATTTAAAAAAAGGAAAGGAAGTTTAAGAAACACAGACCTAACTAAACCAAACAGCAGATATCAGTAACAGCACATATTTAGATTTGCTTTCAAATATTTGTCGAAGATGATATTTTGAACCACTTCATCTCTCACTAAATGTTACATAGACACAAGGGGAGAAACCTTAAACTAGAATATTGTAATATACTATATCAACAGTATATTCTATCAGCCAGCCAGTGCCAAACAGAAAGCCAAGTTTTCATTTCCAGGTCTGAGTTTGAGGTGGACACTGTCTTTATATTTTGCTCTCTGAAAATAAGCACAACTGTGGAGATGATCCTTGCTGGCGTTCAACTTGAAACTAGAGTGTGAGGCTAGGAACTACCCCAAATTGTCACTCTTGCCAGTGGGTGATAAAACACCTGCCATAGTAAGTGGAAATGCAGACCTCTAAATCCACAAATATCTGGACCATGTGCCACAAACTCTTGCCATGGTGGGAGCTAGTTTTGTCATGAGGAACTACAAACTGGGAGAGCTGAAAAGTGGCACTTGTTTTAATCTTCTTGCCAGGGAGTTAAGTTTGGATTTTGAATTTTGGAATTATATGAATCCAAATCAAAGCAGAATACTTGCTTCTGCTTATCCTATTCCTCACAAAATATCTGTTCATCTTTTGCATTTGTATACAAAGTATTACAAAGGCACAATAAGTCTTGAGTTGCTTCTCTTCCAAAAAGAAACTGATCTTTTACAATGCTACCCCAAATTTTCACCCCTAAGATGAGGAGAAAGGTGAAACATTTTGAGTTTGCTCAAAAAAATAAAAATTCTATCACTTCAAATGTATGACCCTGAGGTCAATGCATCATCTCTTTTATTCTATCCAGAGGATGTGGTGTCAATCTTTTGTTAGAAAGCATCCTATTTATTATTTGCTTTTGTAATTATGTAGATATTATGACACATTTTTAAAATTTTGCTGCTTTTGATAAGATTTAATCTGAATCAACCATAGCTAGAATAGGCTACTCTCAACACGCCCAAGGGCATTTCAAGGATATTTCTGCACAGACTTTTTTTTGAGGAAGGGGTAGATTTTCTTTTCTCAACCACAAGCTATTCAAACAAAACAGGTATCATAGAATGTTTCAATTCCATGTTTTACTTTGTGGTGTAGAAGACTGTGCGCTCTTATAAATTGCTTAAGAGTTTTTAGGTTAAGCAGGAAAAACATTTATGGACAACCACCTCCACCCAACAGCAAACTATACAAATTGTAACAAAGAAGAAAGCACCTCAGGTTATGCCTGCTCTTAGCAATTGGCATTCAGTTTGTTTAAGTGGCACGTCTTCTTCTGCAGGACTCTCAGATTAAAGTAGTTTGTTAAAGTACATTTGGCTTTGGATGAGTTTTCGCAACAGCTACTGATTCTTATTCTCCCACAGCCACCTCCACAGTAGAACAATAAAAATATGTGCCTTAGCATTACCTTGATAGAACTACAGCTAGAATGACAATGAGTCAGTTGCTGTTAACGGAGTTACAGAAAATGCTCCATAATATCCAAATACCGGCAGGGCTGCCATTCAAGAGGATGCAACTGTATGGAGGCAGTTCCACATGGAAAGATTCTGTGAAAGAACTCATTGTGCGATTCCACCGCAATACAAATAAATAAGGGTCGTAGTACATAGCTGAGGTTATCAGAATTACTGAAAGCCATTTCACAAAAATGGCTTGCCATATGAGCAGTCTCCCACACAGATGCATTTAGAAAAAGCTGTCACGCCATCACTTGCTGGTAAAATATATTCCTTTGATGCCAGAGCACCACTAAGTCAATTGCTTCGGGAGCCTAAAAACATAATGTGACTAGCAAATTCACACCATGTTTATCATGTTTTTATATGTGTTGGAAGCCACCCAGAGTGGCTGGTGCAACCTACCCAGATGAGCAGGGTATAAATACTAAAATATTATTATTATTTATTCTGAAAAATTCAGTTTTCCAAACCTACTAAGGTAGACCTCCACATGGAACCAGGCTTCCACACACATAGGTGAGATGAGCATATGCAAGGATGGAGATCTACATCACTAGGTCTGACTGGATGCCCATCCCCATTCAGGGCTATTAGCCATAACAGGCCAATGTTTCAAGTCAGAAGTACTATGGGTGCAAAGATCACAATAATATTGCTATAAAACACACCGCTGAACAGAATAATATACAATTGCCCTACAGAATTGTCAGGCATATTATCTACATGTCATTTAGGTACTAGGCACAATTTCATTACTAGCAGAAAAGGAAGCAGGTTGCTTAGAAGACATCAAAGGGGTCCGTTATTTTTTTTTAATAAGAAAAAGATAAACCTTTAAAAGAGACAGGGAGAGGCATGGCAAAAGTCAGGCAACAGAAGGCAGCCAAAACACACAGTCTTTGTGTTGGAAGTGCTAAGTGGAACATTCAATTTTGCTCAAGTTACAGTGCGACACCTTTTCAAATTGGCTGCCTGTAGCTTCAACTGCAGATTCAGAGCATTTGAAATAAAATAAGCCTCCTCATTAAAAGGCCAAAGAAGAAAATTCATAATGTAGTCTTGGATTTCCCTACACTGGAGGTTTGGTTCACTATATGGATTATTCAACTAAATTGTTCTGGCATTATTAAAAGAAGAAGTGAAATAGCACAATTGTTTTCCTGTTTCCCTTCTTCTGGCACACCACAATTGCTGGAAAAGGTAATATATCAGTCAGGGATTAACATGTGGTCTAACATGTGCAAGATTCTGTCTGAAGGCAAAGATATGGATTGCATCCTTTTTAGCCTTCCTCTTCTAAAACTGCAATCCTATGCACACTTATTTGGAAGTAAGTCTAACTGAATTTAGCAGAATTTAGTTCAAGCTAAACATGCAAGCCAATGGAAGTTGGAAACCAATAACATTTGGAGGGCACAAATTCTGCATTCCTATATTAAGGCACTTAGCATTGTGCCATCACTGCCAGTTCTGTGCTTGTCAAAATTTCTTCAAAGTTCTGGGTAGAATGATGTAGAGGTGGGATGCCAAACACAAAGCCCAAGATTGTACTGCTACACTGGATCTAGTTTTGTAGGTACCATTCAACTACAAACCAAACAACAATTCTGACTAAGTTAATAGCTCTCTGGATAAAGTTCTAGAAAGAATTTCAGTTCAAGTTCTGCAATTTCAGAACTTTTGCAGAAAGTTACTGCGAAAAATACAGCAAAAGCACATGGATAAAATTCATTTACTAAATCACCAGGTTATATTTGACGTAACTAATGGCAACAGACTCCAAAGCTGATTCTTCCAGCTAACAGTGTGCCACAAGAAGGGATTAAGAAGGTACAGAACAACAAAGGTAAACAAAGGCTTGTGGGAAGAAAGGCAAAGTGGGAAGAAACAAAACAGGTGCTGTTTATACTGAGTACTGTACTAGTTCTCTGAATTGTTCATATTGACCACAAATTGTCATTTGGATGTCAATGTGGGCTAAGTAGATATGTGAAAAAATATAATTCATGCTTATAATAAACAGTCTACAAAACTACTTCACACACAAATGCACTTTAATGAGCTTGCTAAAGAGTAAAAAAAAAAATAGCATATTTTAAAATGTGACTGAAGTAAGTAATCAGGTTAAAGCTTTGAACAATACAAAGTATTAACACTGGGGTTCTTTTTAAATGTTGTATCTTATGTTCTGAAACCTATAAAAATATTGTTCTGCAAAATTTTTGAGTAACTGCACACAGCAGTGTTTATATTCCCTCAGAAGAGTCCTGTCAGTTGACACTAAAGATGCATCAAATCCAACAGCCCATTTTCTACAGTGGCCAGGCAAGTGCTTCTAGGAAGCACACAAGCAAGGAATAAAGGCCATAACCCTCCCCTGGTGGGATTTAGTATTATGGGAGAGTGAGATTTTTTTTTCATAAACCTCCATGATGGTCTCCTTTCTAAACTAAGTTCCAAATGCTTGTCTTTCTTTTTGATGAACCTGTTCAAACCTGAATCATGTGATAATTTCAGTTCTTTGCTGTCCACTTTGAGATGTGGTGACCTGTACAAAGTATTTTAAATGTAAGTTTTATAAAGGCATTGTGATACTGTCCATTTTGTTTTCAGTTTCTTCCCTAACAATTCCTAATAAAGAACTCACCTTTTTCAGTAACAGACCACACAGATTTGTTGTTTACAGTAAGCGCCCAACCACAGCTCAAAGATCTCTTCTCTAGGGATAGAGTGAATAAATGAAAGGACACATTTCAGGGCAGGGGGTTGTGTCCCAAGGTCAATCACTTTGCACAATCTTATGTTGTATCTTATATGTCATTTTGATGCCCATTCATCCGTTCTTGAGATAATCCTTTTGGAATTCTTCATGGTCTACTTTGAGCTTCTTGAATAATTTGGTACCCCTTTAAGATTTCTAATGATTCTATGTTCTGTAGCATGCAGAGAAACAACTCCTATAAAATAACCTTCCTTGTTCTTTCTATAGATTTTGCATGCAGCAATAAGTGGATATCATTCATTTTCACCATTGCATCAGCTGAAGGATCAAGCCAAAAGCCCATCTAAACCACACACCATTTTCCAGAGGCTAGACAGATGCTTTTGGTACTACTGAAGGCATGATTAGATCAGTCCACTGCTCCTCCACTGCTCCAGTGTTTAGAAAAATATTACCTATGAACCTAGATTCCAAATAGCTACAAAAGCCAATAGCTGAACTTAGACTTATCCCCACATAATTATCATAGTTGGAAGGAACCTTGGAAGTAATCAAATCCAATCTTTATTGTTATAGTCCATGACTAGCATCCTCTAAAGTAATCCAGTGTTCTTCAGCCTTAGATCTTAGTCTACAACAGCCTTAGTTGTTGAACTACACCTTCCATCATTCCTGAACACTAGCAAAAAAATCGATGGGAATGATGCAGAGCAGCAACAACTGGAGACCCAAGGTTCAAGAATACGGATGTAGTTCAACCTTCTACTCAATGCAGAATGCAACCACAGCATCCCTGATAGATTGGCATCTAGCTTCAGCAAAAAAAGAGTCCTGAGATAATATATTCCATTGCTGAACAACTCTTACCATAGTTTGTTTCTCCTAATGTTCTGCAAAAATATGCTTCCCTGCAATTTCCACCCAGTAATCTGCCCCAGAAACACATGGCATTCACCCACCTCCCTAAAATCTCCCCATGCCAGTTAGTCATGTCAATAACTCTGTAAACAAGAAACAGCACCTGGTTTTTCCTTTTCCCCTTCCCTCCCAATCCTGCTTCCTTTTGTGCTGTGTCTGTTCAGAATGAAAGCATGAACTGTTATGACTGACATTTGGAAGCAGAAATGGCAGCAGGGGTTATGGCTGAAGAATGGTGTGAAAGCACCTTAAATAAAATACAACAAATAATACCTTACAATTGCTAATTATTGTTTTTAAGTTATTTCAAATTCCCAGCAGCACCCAGCAGTATACTATATCTAACCCTAGAGGGTCCTGCTGAGTTATTTGCTTTAATCTTTTACGCCCTAACCAGCTTTCCATACATATTTCCAGCTTGCAGGCTGAGGACAGACCTCTATTCTGCACCTAAGAATTTACTTAAACATATAACCCAACATTTCCATGTAAAAATTCACAGGGTGGTTAGCAATAAAATATATGCTAATTAAATAAAATCAATATATAAAAAATTGGCACTATTACAGGTGCCACATAATACCTACTCTGCATTTGTAAGAACTTGATTGTTTAGTGTGGTGGCACCTACACTTTGGAACTCCCTGCCTGTTGAAATCAAGCAGCCGCCTTCACTGTACTATTTTCGGCGCCTGTTAAAAATATTCTTGTTTAGACAAGCCTACCCAGATGCTAGAAAGTTGAGGTAATTTGGTATTTTAACGTTTGCATATTTTAAAGTGGGGTTCTGAATCTTTCTTGATTTTACAATTTCATGTTTTTGTAAACCACTTTGAGGGGGGGGGGTTTAAAAAATTGAGTGGTGCACAATTTTTTAAAATAAATAAATACTGAACAACAAAATTTAAAGAGTGTTGGGAGTGTATGGCAGAAGGTAAGAGACCTTACCATCATAAATATATTTAAAAAAAACTGTAAGCCTGCAACTTGAGGGGGGGCGGTTTAAATTCCAGGGATCGTGCTTAACGCTAAAATCATGTACTGTATAGTCAAAACACATTGGATTCAATGGTGTGGGGGCTTACCAAAGTTTTCCCCCCCAGGCGCCTACCCTTCTGTTTCTTCTTTTGGGGGGTTTGCTTGGTTTGGTGTGCTTTTTTGCCAAGTTGTGGACTAACAGAACAGAAATAAATGAGCAACGATTACGATATCTTAACACGCACAAGCACACAAAACCCTAAATAAGCGCGGACAAGCTCCCTAGCCCCTCAAAAGGGAAATGCTCTTTTGAAACCCCAAGTGCTGCATGTGGGCAGGCAGGCAGGTACACTGCCCCTGCAACGGGAAGCTCTCCCAAGCCACGAGGAAGCCTCGACGCCCCCCTCCCGGGTCTACCGCGGGCGAGGGGGAGGGAGGGGAGGCGACGATCTTTCCCCACCCCACTCCTCCCGAAGGTGAGGCTGGCAGGCGCCGGGTACCCACCTGTCCCGGAGGCCGCTTTGCCGCACAGAGCCTCCGCCCTCCTCACCGGTCTCTTCCTGGGCGCAGCGGCGGCGTCTCTGCTTGGGGGGCCCCGCCGCGGCCGCTCCCGCCCCGCGGCGCCCACAGCATGAGGGATGGGGCGGGGGCGTCCTTCCCGGACGAGGAGGCGGGGAAGCGGCCCCCGGACGGAGCAGGAGGTGGAGGAGCCGGCCCAGCCTGGCCTGGCCGGCCGCCGCCGCCGCCGCTTCTTCGCGGCTACTGCTGAGGCTGCTCCTCAGAAAGGCCGCTCGGGCGCCGTCTCTTAGCAACCGTGCCCGGGCCCCTCCCGCTCCTGAGAAAGAGGCGGCGGCGGATTCGGCTTGGCCGAGAAGATGCTATCGCGCCGTCTGCGCAGGCGCGGGCACCCGCTAAGCTGCCGCTGGCCCGTGCGCGATTCCGGCGTGCGCTGCCTAGGAGGTTAGCAAGGGGGCTGCTTGCTTCAGGACTGGGCTGCTGCAGTGCGCTCAATGGGTGGCTGGGACGGCGGAGGAGGAGTAGGGAGGAGCGAGCTGCTGTTGGTGCAGGATGCTGCAGCACAATTGCTGACCCTGTCAGCTTGTGCTCGGAGGTCTGCGCTGGCCCCCGGTTCGCAACCGGGCTAAGTTCAAGGTGTTCGTCTATAAGAAGCCGTTAACAACTTAGGACAGGTTTGCCTATGAGGCCACCTTCCCGGCATAATGCACCCACTCAGCCACTTCAGTCAACAGAATTGGCATTGATAGAGGTGCTGCAGGATACCTGTTCCACATTTCTAGTAGCTTGATCTATTGTTGTTATTATTTATTAAATTTCTATACCACCCTTCATCACAGGATCACAGGGTGGTTTACAATATAAAAATACAAAAATACATAACATAGTATTAGGCAAAAACAGTACCCCCACCCCAGTTTAAAAGTTCGTGGATTGTTTAAATAGCTGAAGGCCTGGGAGAAGAGGAATATTTTTGCCTGGCATCTAAATATATGGGTTGAAGGCAACAAATGAACCTCCCTGGGGAGAGCATCTCACAAGTGGGAAACCACTGCATAAAAGTCCATTCTCTCATGTTGCCACCCTCTAGACCTCTTGTGGGTGAGGCACACAAAGAAAGGCCTCAGGTGATGATCACAGAGTCTGGGGAGATATGGCAGCTACACTTTGGAATTCCTTACCTATTGACATCAAGCATGCATTTTTTCATTTTGCTCTGTTCTGCTAAAAACGTTGTTCAGGCAAGCCCACCCAGATGTGTCAAATGCTGGTGTGTGTTTTAATCTGTTTGTAGTTTGGTGCTGATTTCTTTAATGTTTAAATAGTTCCTTGTGATGGTTACTAAGAATTTTATTGTTTCATTCTCTTTGAGGGTTGGGGTTTTGTTTGTTTTTTACAATTTTATGAAATATAAACAAACAAGGTATCTCTGCTATCAGTGGATGCTAGCAACTATGGCTATGTTCTGCCCTCACTGTCAGACACAGTTGTTGCTGGCCTCCACACGTCCTGAGAGATAATGGAGTGTGCTCCTGGGTGTAATGTCAAGCCACTGGAGAATCACAGCACCTTCTTTGTCTGTACAGAGCAGTAACTCATAACTTCTGGCTCCCACATTGTGTTTGCTGCATTAGCAGCACTGAAGTGACCTCTTTCATGGGGGGCGAGCCTGGGTAGTGTGCATGGAAGTCCTGGGCTGCCCAGATAACAAGACTCCCCTCTTGATCTCACTGCTGTGGTTGGTCCAAAGGAAAGCAGAACAATACAGCTTGGCTGCAAGAGTTGCCAGACAGAGGTGTATAAGTCACCCATCCAACTCCACTCTGGATTTGTGTAGAGTTTACTGCTTAGCCTTTTCTTCTCCTGAAGATGTCCTGCAAGACAGCAAGTACAGATTTTTCCTCAGGATTTACGGTACTTCTGAAGCCTTTCTCAACAGAGGTTTAGGATCAGAGTTTTCCTTCTCCTAGATGGGCTAACTTTCCAGGTTGATGAGCCCCATCTGCCCCTCATTTCCCTCTATAGCACAATCAGAAACTGTTGGACCCATTATTGGTTTCATTCACTCAAGCCGCCAGAACCTCACCAAGGGCTTGAGACTCATCTGCTACCCTTACCTGTCTTAGCTGGTCAGTCGAAGCCATTCCCAGGGTGTGACCACGGTCGCATGGTGACAGCTTCTAGGAGCCACAGATGAGAGCTGAGAGCAGGGTGGAGACCAAAGGTGTACAAACTACCCCCAAAGGAGCATGACCTGTCCCCCAATAGAGGTGCTACACGTCCCCTGTACACCCCATATATATACATAGGTAGTTTCATTTTTGTGTTGTCTTACTGCTCAATCATAGATCCCAAAGCAGTTTACAGAATGAAGCAAGGGTTCTACTGAAATCAGATGAAACAGATGTACAAATAAATAAATAAGAAAATTGAGGCACAAGGCGTCACTGCCAGAAAGCCAGCTGGACTTATTGATATGATCCAAACTCTGCTAGCCGCCCTCCCCCCAGTTTATTAAATGAATTTTATAGTGACTCATTTTATTTCTCTCTTATCCCGTATTGATTTGCCCTTTAAAATTAAAGTGAGTCAGCTATTTCATGATTCTCCTTTAACCTTTATGGAAAGTATGTCTCAATGACTTCATATTTATTAATTGTTTTCTTAAATGTTATTTGAGAGAGAGAGAGATCACTGACAAGCCCATCATTCTGCATGTACATGGTTTGCTGTATTCACAAATATATCTACTGAGCATGAGCAGGATGGCAAACATCCTGATGCTGTTAGTCTGCAAAGCATCATCAGTTCCCACACCACCCACCCAAAGCAAATAGCATCCATTGGGAGTTTCTTTCTTTGTTCCCTCTTAGCCACTTGCAAATCTCATCTTCATGAGCCACACTGCTGCTTTAAAAGGCTTCTACAAACATGTGGCATGTGCCTAGGTCAATAGCCACCAGCAATGCAGATTTTTCTTTAAATGTATCTAGCTATCACAACTCATTGAAGTTATCTACAATGTGGATAGCAAACTAGTGGCCCTCCAGACCTTACTGGATTACAACTTCCACCCACCCCTGTATGGGATAATCAGCCTCATATAACCAAAATGCTTAAGTCTAATTAATGCATGAAAGGCTTAAGGCAGTGGTTCTCAAAGGGTGTGCTGTACCACAGTAGTGTGGCAGGAGAGAATGGCAAGTTTAGCAGAAAGATTCAAGGACATTTAAACATTTCAGTGTAGTATAGTATGGTATCAAAGTAGTATTTATTTATTTATATTGCAGAATGCAGTCCTTTTTTTATTTTAGAAAAACTGGTGCTGGAACTCACCATGAACACCTCTCATTCTCTTAGAATGGCAATGGCACCCACCTGAGAGGTGCCGGAACTGAGTCCCGATGAGTTCTGGCTGAAACCCGCCCCCCCCCCCGGAAGATGGATAGAGATCTTTTCAAAATCAAGCACTGCTAGGAGTTTATTCTTTTTGTTTTCCGTTGTATTTCTAATCAATAAAAACATTCGGTGTGGCGCAAGGAAATTTTTATTCTGAACATGTGGCCCAGAGAAAGAAGTTTGAGAATCATTGGGTTAAGACCATACAGTAAGCTGTCCTGCCAGGCTTAGCTAGGTCACTCCACCTCACCTTGGAAGGGAGGGTTAGCAAGCCTTTGTTCTCTTCCATTCCACCATGTAAATCCTACCAGTAAGGAGTTCTGAGTTAGTTGCTCCAAGTTCAGAATGTGTGGCTTAAACAAGCCATCTTTGTGATTCTAAACAAATAATTTAGAAGCACTCACCACACTGGAACATAAATTTTCCTGCCTGTGTTTTCTAATTGCTGTATGGAAAAGCACGTGAATCTGACCTTTGAAGGGTTTGTAAGTAAACCATTTTTAACTTGCCATCTAACTCAGTATTTTCTATATAGATATTTCCCAAACTTGGGTCTCCAGCTGCTTTTGGACTACAATACCCATTATCCCTAGCTAGCAGGACCAGTGGTCAGGGATGTTGATGGTTTAAGTGGGCTATGGATTGCAGTCTGACTCATATTGCATTCATTGATGTGATGGGGAACTGAATAAACCGATGAAGAAATAAATCCAGCTTGAAAATGTTACCTTGGGCTAAAATTAAAATAACAAAGGAAAAAATGAGTTCTGTTGATGTTGTTGTTGAAGGTGGATAAGCCCCTTGCCATTGCTCATGTTTTGTGCATTCTCTGTGGAATCTTAATTTCCTCTCCCTCCTCATCTCCTCAACCTGCCAGCTCTCGTTCCCTCAGTGTCTTAGCAACCAGAGGAGACTCACTGGCCCACTGCAGCTAATGTCCCTCAACCCCCTCAAAGCAATCACATTTAATTTCTCTAATTAAATCACACATCAAAGGATCCTGAATCCTCCAAACATATAGCCCTAAACTGACCTGGGTTTTTAAAGTGTTCTCCTGAAACCAAGGATTATATTACAGTGGTAACTCAGGTTACGGACGCTTCAGGTTACAGACGTTTCAGGTTACAGACTCCGCTAACCCAGAAATAGTACCTCAAGTTAAGAACTTTGCTTCAGGATGAGAACAGAAATTGCACAATGGTGGCATGGCGGCAGTGGGAGGCCCCATTAGCTAAAGTGGTACCTCAGGTTAAGAACAGTTACAGGTTAAGAACGGACCTCCAGAATGAATTACAGGGGCCATAACAGTTTCCTCAGAAAAGGCAGCAGAATATTTAATCTCACAATAGATCTGGTTGTTGTTGTTGTTGTTGCTGCTGCTGCTGCTGCTGTTGTAGAATAACAGAATCATAGAAGTATAGAGCTGGAAGGGACCCTTTGCAATGCAGGAATCTCAGCTAAAGCATCCATGATTTTAAGCATCCAACCTCTGCTTAAAAACTTCCAAGGAAGAAGAGTCCAGCACCTCTTGTGGAAGTCTGTTCCACTGTCAAACAGCTCTTAACATCAAGGTAGCTTCCTATGGTCCTGACTTAGTGTCCTCTAAATGTTTTGGGCTACAATTCCCATCAGCCCTAGGCAGCATGGCTATTGTGTGTTATGTTCACTAATATATGTATTTTTAATGCACACTTAACTCCAGTATATGCCCTTTTGAATACATTATTTGGCTGCAGAATTGCAATGCAAAATTCAGAACAGGGTGAATTTCAAGGGGTTTCTGTTTTTCACTTTGCATATTGTTTCAGAGATTAGGTAGGGTCATTGAATCAATATTTCTCCCACATATGTATGTGCAGCTAGCTTTTTAAAAGAATGTGACATGATAGTGTGAGATGAATAAAA